AAGCAAACTCAAACAATAGAACTAAAAGATTAAATTGCCGACCTAGCGATTTGACCAATTCATGTTAGCTTGGTCTATAAAAAAAAACCTTAATGTAATTCATCATCTATGACTGATTCAAACAACAACTGGTACATGCGATTCTCTCAAAAATTGGAAAAATTTAACAATATCTTCCAGATGGAAGGTGATGAAACGGGAAGGTTTACATGAGGTATAAGACTCCTAAATTCCTAACAATTATTAAGCAGATTGAAACTGTGTGAAGCATAGAAATTAGATTGATATAACAAACCATTACATATTCACTTAGTTTAAGATGGATTGTAGATGTCACAGCCGATATAATGACTGAAGTCAGAGTTGTGTTATAACTGATGTGTATGTCATGACTTCCGGTACGATATTTTGGACTTGCTTCTATTGCCAGATCTTGGTTAAATGTTATTTCATAAATTTTTCCTTCAGTATATATCATTAAACCTGATCTTAAACTAAGATATACATTATTTACTTTAAACAACAACCAAAGTGCCAACTTCAAAGGTGCAGGCTCATTTTTATACTGAATAATTATTGAATTTTAAAAAATATGTATAAGAAGTGGGACGTTCTTCTTTTGCATCACTCTTCTCTGTGACAAATATTTCTGTAGCAGTACATTTAACTGACAGTGTAGCATTTTATCCCACATTCAGTGATCCGCTATATAAGCATAAAGTACATAAGTGCATACACACACACACATTATATATGTACAGAAATATGTAACTAAAGCATAACTTATGAAATGGATCTGTTGTTTCCAAGACACTTGAGATAACAGAAACTCTTAAAGGGGTAAAGAGCATTTATAATCGAAGAAAGATGACTGCCTGCAAACTGAACGAAGTTTTATTGTCGTCGCTGTTGTTGTTGTTGTTGTTGTTGCATTTTAATGCAGATAAAATAAATAAGTTTTGACTCATAAGGAATATTAAAATAAATAATAAAAAAAAGTTACTTTTAATGACTAATGCAGAAAATGTAATTTAATATCACAATTTTATTTTAAAAATTTATTAACTGGACGAAAATAAATGAAAAGCTTCGAAATGCAAGCAATTTTACACGCGCCATTTTGCCGGCACAAAATTTTTCTTATTTTGTTTTTTTTTTTTTGTATTTCACTTTTTGTTTTAAATTTTCTTATTAGAAAAATGCTAAAAACAAAGTGGGCGGCAACTAAATCAGCACTAAAAGTAAAAAAAAATATATATTTTTAACACCCATGAAGAAATGTTCAAATGTTCACCGACAACATTAAGATAATTTTAACATAAAAAAAAATTTGCGATATATTAAAATTTATTTCTAATTTAATGGAGAAAAAAAATATTTTCAATTAAAAATTAATATAAAAAATTTTTTATAAATTTTGAGCGAACAAAAACAGTAAAATTATAGAATTAATTAATATTATAAAAATTAATGATACTTCAATAATTTATGTAAATTTTAAATGCACAATTTTATTTTTTACAGAAGGAAGAAAAACGTAAGTAGAAATATTTTTCGCATTTATAATTCATTCATTAATGCAGTTTCTTAATTTTGTTGTTGCTAATAGCAAAGAATTCCAATTGGAAGTGATAAGATTATGCATATGTGGCGGCATGCTATGCTCTTTCTCTCCACAACAGTTTCTAGGTCAATTTGCCGAAAAAGGTAAAAACACAAAAGGCATGAGAACAGTTTTGCGCGTTTGGACAGTTGTTTGCTGAGAGAAATTGCTTTACTACCATGCAAAAATATTCATAATAATCAGAAAAATATTTGTGTTATTGATTTGAAAACCCGTTTTTTGCACATATGAATAGATAAGAAAATTTTAAAACGAAAATCAATTATTATAAATATCTATACGTTATATAGTATTAAAATGTATTTTCATATTCCAATACAATTTTATATATTTTTAAAAAAAATTTATTTCATATACTGATTACAAGATTATTTATATACTTATTACAAGAAAATAAAATTCTGTACTTTACGATGAAATATATTTATAAATTATATAGTATTGGAATATATTTTTTTATTCCAATATATTTCTATATCTCAATTTATTTTTTTATTCCAATATAGTTTTATATTCCAACTTATTTTTATATTCCAATGTATTTTTATTTTCCAATTTATTTTTATATTCCAATATATTTTTATATTTCAATTTATTTTTAAATTCCAATATCATTATAAGTATTTTTAATTAATATTTATTATATGTACTGATTAAAGCATTTATTTAAAATTTAAAAATATATAAAAAATTAAAAACAAAATGTTAGAATTATATTCTTTTAGATTGGTGTCGACGACGATGCGAAGTTTGTAATAACTTAAAAATTTTTAACACAAATCTATTAAAAGAAAAATATAACATGTTTTAATTTTTTTATATATTTTTATTTTAATCTATCATTCGTAATTATAATATAAAGAGTTAAATATTGTGAGCTTAAAAAAATCCACAATGTTAAAATTTTTGTCTTTGTCAATATAGTGTTTTTTGAAATGTTATTTTATAATTTATATTATATATTTTGGTCAACCAAAAATTCAATTAATTAAAATAATATAAAAAGAATTTTTGTTGTAGTAATTCACTACTTTTCGAAACCTCTCTATTATAATAAAATTTATTTTAGCGTAATAATAATATTAAAATAAAGTTTAGAATCAACTATTACTTTAAATTAATAGTTGTTGCAATATTTAACTTAAAGATATAGTCAAATGTATTTCTAAATGGCGAAATTTATTTTGAATTATAGTATTAAATAAATAAATTTTAAGACTTCAATTAATAGGTTTTTTTTGTCACGCTTTAGATCGTTTTTTTCTTATATATTGCTACATATACTTTAAAATATATGTAAATGAACACAATAAAGTTGTTCTTTAATTTCAAAGAAAAATTAAATATAATTTAACAATCTAAAGCCCTTCTACAACCAAATAATAATTTAAAATAAAAGTAAAGCATCTTTGCAGTATGAAAATGCGTATGCTTTACGTACAATGAAAACTAAGAAATTTTATTAAATGATTTTTAATATATAGACATTCATAAAATGCACATATAAAAATATATATATGAAATGGTATATATTGCAAAGGAATACATGAAAAAGTATATTTGAAAATATTTATATATATAAAAATATTTATATATATAAAAATATTTATATATATAAAAATATTTATATATATAAAAATATTTATATGAAATTAATGAAACGAATAATTGATGTATATTAAATTTACGTATTGTCAATTTTATACGTAAATCTTCGTGCAATGAAAATGGTCTACAAAGTAGACAAAAATATCTGTAATATAAATATTTCTTTATAAAAACTAATATATAATTATAATATTTAACACAAATTATAAAGTGTAATTTTTTTGTTTAATTTTTTATAATTTTATGTATTAAATATACATTAGTCATTTTAATTTTGTAATAAAATAACTGTTTTGAAACTATATATATAAATATATATTATAAATAATATAATTATTTCTTTAAAAAAATTAATATATAAATATAATATTCAACACAAATTAATAAGTATATTTTTTTTAAATATCTTTTAATTTTATATGTTTAATGAAGGACCTTAACCTGATAATTATCAAGAAACATACATTAATAATTTTAATATTATAATAAAATAATAGTTTTAAAACTAATATTAAAATTAAATACTTATTTTAGAAATTACCACTTCAACTTAACTACTTATATATAAAATTATTTATACTTAATTATAAACATTAATAATACTATTAATATTGTAATTAAATATTCTTTATATTCTATATCATTAAAATAAGATTGGTTTCCCTTAAGATGGCTATCGAAGATAGTCGAAATATCGAAAAATATCTTAATAAAATAATTTGTCTTATATATGAAAAATAAAATATAATTTTTAAATGACCAATTAATCCGCTCATAAAATATTATATCAATAATAATATTATTATTATAATTAAATATTATATATTCCAATTATTGATATTTATTTATGTAACAATAAAAATTAAATTTAACCTGACTTAACTTAACATTGAAATATAGTTAGCAAAACTATACATTTTCAAATAAAAAATTCTGTACTATGAATTATTAACATTTTTTCTTTGGTGTAAATTAGCGAATTTTTGACAAATGAGCATCAGTGTGGTGTGAAGAGTTTTTGTTTTTGATTTTTTTAAGGCAGAATAATCAAGAATATTGGAGAATCAACATTGAAATTTGAAACATAATTTTAATTTTGTAAATTTTGTTTAAATTTGTACACAAAAGCAACTAGAAAAATTTATACATTTGTACACAAATTAAATATATTTAATCTCTAGAAATTCTGTGTTATTTTTCTCACAATGTGCACACCTAAAAGCACATTAAGAAATGCATTCGAATGAAAGATATATAAAAATAATAAGAAAACACTATTGAAGGTCAGTAAAGGTCGCCGCAATTTTGTCATTAAATTTGATTTTGATTTTCATTTACAACTCACACAAACCACGGCGCGATATCAAACCAGAAAAAAAGCAAACAAATTTATTTATTATAAAATAATATAAAATTGCAAATATAATAATTATTTATAATAATTTTTTTTTTTTTTGATTTTCATATTGAATTCTAAATTTATATGTAAATATATTAGAGAAACGATGCATTGCGGGAGCTTGCTTTCAAAAACTCTTATTAGGGCAGGTCCATACTTTTTATGGGAAGTAAATTATAAATATGAAAAAAAATGAAATAAACTCAGACGCATATGATTTAAAATGAAGTTGAAATGAATTCATTTTAGCCATGCTGCAGCCACTCTCTTTCTATTTTATTCATTTAAAATAAAATATATTTTTTTAAATAATTTTAATTTTTTTTTATTTTGCGTTTATTGTTTGTTTTTGTATTTTTCGAAACTTACTGCTCATTTTGATTTAATTTAATTTAAATGTACACTACTTCAAAAAAGAAATCACTTCAAAAAGTCACAGGACTTTTTAGTAAAAAAAATTAATTTTTTTCTTTAACGTAAAACACAAAAGAAAATTTCTTCCTTTTTATTTTTAGGTGGGCACGTTTGTCACTACAAAACTTGCAGCAGCCAATAATCGAACGATGTTGTTCTCTACACGAACGACGAGAAACTGAACTGGCCACCGTTAAGTTGAATAATTGAAAGCACAGCAACTGCTTGTGTACGCTTTTGGTTGAACGGCAAGTGAAATTGAACTTGCATAAATAAAATTAAATAAACAAATTCAAATACACACCACTTAAGTAAAACATTTTTGTTTTTGTTTTTGTTTTATAAATATGTGTGCTGTTTGGAACGTAATAAGTTCTCTTTGCAATACATTCCACAAGTATTGTGCTTAACGCGTGGAAAATGCGTATGAAGGATAACGTAAGCATCATTTGCTTTGGACTTATAGACACACTTTAAAAAATTTTAATTTAATTTAATTTATTTTATTTGAAATTTAAACAATTAAATAAATATAAATAAACAAATGTTAAAAATAAATTGTAAGTGAAAACTATCTTTAAAATAATTAAAAATAACTATTTATTATGTAGACAATGTTATATGGTGTAATGGTGTAATATGTTATTAATATTTATTATATATATTAATAATAATAATAATTGATTAATTTTATTTTTATTGATTTTTTTTACATTAAGTCTTATTATAATATAAATAGAAGTAAAATATAATATATATAGGGCATATATAATATAGAAGAAAATATACTAGGGCAGTCTTTAAAAAATGTAGACTGGAGTAGAATTGTGCAGCGTGTAGCATACGAGGGCGATTTGATAAATCTGTAATATATTGAAGCTGCCGTACATATGGGCAGTTTTGAATTTTTAAAGAATTTTTAAAAATGTACAATGGTACATGGGTACTTCGAATTTAAAAGAAAGCGCCACAACGATGAGGGAGATTCATAAAGAATTGAAATCTATGTTTGCTTATCCAAAAAATTCCAACTTTTTGATGTGATAAGCTGGGACTATTTCCTGAAGTTATTTGTTTATTAATTATATATTTAAAAATAGTGTTAGATTAGATTAGGTTAAGTTATACCGGCGATCCTAAGGATCCACTTAGGGCTATTGTATTACTCACAAACTCATCCAAATGTTTGTCAAAATAAAAGGCGCATGAAATAGTAAAGTAGTTACCCACCATATATGAGGCACTTTTGTCACCCTCCCTAAAATTGCAACAGGAATGATTAAACGGGAGATTTAATCTTCTACAATGGTTCTTTTATTGATTGTTACTTCTTAACAAACCTACCACAAGACTGATATCTTTTGCGGGGCAGCTCAATGAGGGTACTGGACTTTTCAGCTTAGTTAACAAAACGCGCTCAACTAATACACAGACGACTGCTTATCATTGTCTTTCCATTTTTCGTTAAAAAGTTCAGCACAAAAACAATTCAACAAAAGCTTGCACTATATCAACGATATGCCTAGATTTTTTAGGTGTTCCGAGTGATTACGTAAAGCACTCCGTCTGGCTAGCTCATATGCTTTTAAATTGCAGAAAATATCGCTTTGACCGGGCATCAAGAGTAGAGAAGTGTTAAACTGCGTCGACATCTTACTAAGAGATGTGTAGCAGTAAAAAACCGTTCAAGGAGTAAATTGGACTAAGCTCGAGGAACTTCTCTGATAGCCATCACCTCCGCATGAAAAACTCTGAATTGTTCAGGAAGCCTACAGTAAATAAATGTATTCAGTTCTTCCGCGAAAACTCCATTGCTTACAACTATATATATTTTTGTGTCACTTCCCACCAACTAGGTATCTCTAGGTGGAAAATGTAGTCAATATTTTTTAGACTGAGACTAAAGAAAATAAGAATAAAGCCATAACTGTAGCCTTCTACTATGAATCAGCTTTAAGTCTAAGAGAAGATGATGCTCCCATTTATTTATTTTTGAGATCAAGCGACATTAAGTGCAGCAAACTTAATTGAATATCCTGAAGAAGGAACCTTGCAGATGTATGCATGATCATAGACTTCTATAGTTCTGTTCTACAAAGCACCAATATTGGAAACATTGATCAACTAGGCTGTGATTTTTTGTGACGTTAAGGTTTTAATATAAAGATCTTTCATTTCTGTATAGAAATGAATTAAAAAAAAATAAATTGGCTTAATTTTCTGCAGGGACGAAGTCATAGTATTTACACAGCTTAAATATATACAATTAAATAGAGACTACTTATCAGAATATAACATTTGTAAGTTTTTATAACAAAGTAACACATAATTAAAAGGAATCTTTGCGCTACTGATAAATTAAATGGCGAATATATATACCGATGTATGTTATGGGTATAGCCAGAAGTGATTCAATAAGTACTGTTTTTAAACCAAATGAAATCCTCGTCAGATTTCGGGCTAAGGCCCCAAAAACATGTAAAATCAGAAGCCTTCACAATTTTTTTAAAAAATATATTATGAGTGGAATAGAATAAAAATAAACAGGGTACCAGCTTCCTACGGATCGCAGCACTGCGACCATAGTTGATCTTTTTTGCTGCAACAGACCCTAACCGAACAGAAGACATTCCGCCTTTCTGGTTTATGATTTTGTTCTAATATAATACAGCAAGTGGATTTGTTAATAAAACTTTCACAGTAAATTAGGAAAACTCCAGAAAAATGTGCAAATATAAAAGTCAAGTACGGCTTTGGGTCAGTTGGTTAAGGAGCGCTGACTCTGAGCTTTAAATTTGGCAGGGCACAAGTTCGATTCCTTCAATTATTTACGAATAATTAAATACAAGAATTATTTCCAAGACCACTGAAGTAGCTGTATGGGCAGCCAAATATTCAATTAATTAAAATAATATAAAAAGAATTTTTTTGTTGTAGTTCACTACTTTTCGAAAAACGTCTTAATAAAATTTTTCTAAAATATAATTTTTAATATAGGCTTTCTTTATCACAGGTTTAGTTTAGGCACGCGCTTTGTAGTGTGCAACTTTCCAAGAAACCGATTTACAGAGTCATGGTAACTCTAAATGTGAAAAAAAAAATTAATTGCAGCTTTTAACAATTAAATTTTATTGTTCTACCTATTATAGTTTTCAGGTATTCAAAAATATTGAAACATTAAATATAGTGTGTGCAAATTTAGTTGGTAAATAATAACACAATTCAATAATAATAATAATAATAAAATAATAAAATGATTTAACGTTCGAATTTTATATATATAATTGCTACATATAATTTGCAAACTATATTTACTAAGCTAAGATAAGTGATTATTTATTTAAATTTAGACAAAATAAATAAATTAATGAGAACATTTTTTAAATTAGATATGTATATATCATATTAACAAAATATATATTAATAAATTATATATATTCTGCTTTATCTTTATTAAATTTTATTCATTTGTTATAATGAAGTTATTGTTAATATATTCGTAGTGTAGTATTACCCTGTATATATAATCACACTAAACAATTTCTACACAAAGAACAGCTGTCAATTCTCCACACACACACACTACATTTGTTTATTGCCTTCACAGCTCTCACTTGAGGAACAAGCAATTATTATTCACCCCAAACAAAATCTAACAAGAACGTAAGCACATAACGTAGACGTAAGTTTGAATTCTCTTAAGATGTAACGCACTACACTTGCTTTGACACCGGTTTATTTAACGGATTTTGCTCTTTCTCGTTGCGTACAACGTAAAATAACACTTCCAGACAGGAATTCTTACATTGCGTTTAGTACAAATTTGGCTCTTCAGAAAATTGGTAACGGCGGTGGCCAGTGAAAAAAAGCGTTAAAATGAAATGAATTTTACTTTCCATAAAATTGAGAAAAAAATGTATTAAAAATATTACAAAGATATATATTCATTATTAATAAGTGTTAATATGTTTATTTGAAATGAAAATAATATTTATTATTGATTTAAAATCCAATAAGATTCGAATAAAATATGTGAAAAAAATTGATGAGCAATAAATGCGACTTATGCGATGTAAAAGAAATATCCTTGAAAAAGCGGAAGAGCAAAAATGCTTAAAGGAGATAAGAAATATTTTTTCAAGTGAAATTGGAAATATACTAAACGTTTTGACCTTGATATATGAAATTCGTTAAATTTAATTGAATATAAATTTAAATTTTTATTATAAAACTAATACTTTTAACAGTTTTATTTACACTTTATTTTTTTTTCTATGTAAAATATTATTGAGTTTGGTTTTATTGTGCGTTCTGGCAAACCAGTGATGTCGAGCAGATAAGCACAGTGCGCTCTCTTTAAAAATGATACAGGATTATAAAATTTTGTATTAGACAGTGATTGGGGTATGAAATAATAAAAAATAATTTAACATTAAAAAAAATGTAATGAAAGGAAAATTAGTAAAAAAAATGTATATTATAATAATACATGATATGATTATATTAAAATTATTCAAGATATTAAATTACATAAAATTATTTCAATATGGAAAAAAGTATAAATAATATAGTAAAAAAAAAATATATATATAAATTTATATTATACTTACGGACCTATTCTGTGCACTTTATAAACTTGTCAAACATTGACATTTGTCAAAATTGACTGCTGTAAAGGTTTTGGTATTCTGTGACATAAATAAAAAGCTCTTTTCCTTGTTAGTTGTCAATACTACAAATGCTTTTGACAACTATAAAAATATGCTCTTTTTAAGTATTTTTGATTTTTTGCATGCATGACAAATATTCTTAACTAAAATATACGCTCCTTACAAGCATTTTTTTTATTGTGATTTGAATGCATGAAAAATGCTTTCGACAATTTAAAATATATGCTCTTTACAATCATTTTTTACGAACAGTTACGAACAATTACGAATAATTTTCTATACAAAACACTTTACACCATAGTGTGGTGAGACGCACTAGGTACTTGAGCTTTGAAATTTGTCAAGATGTGTCCAGAATACCAAAAAGCTTTCTACTTTATAAAAATCAAAAATTTTATTAAAGAATTTGACAAATCTGTCAAGTGCACAGAATAGGTCCGTTAATATATAAAAACGGAATACAAGTAAGAAAATAAATATTCTTAATGATACAGACATGCAGGTATAATTATATTAAAATAATTTAAAATTTCATAAAATAATTTTATAATAATTTCTTAAAGTAATAATAATAATAATA